AGGGTTGGCGATATTGATTCCAATTGGATCAATGACGGTAAAGTATGATTAATTAGCGCATCACCAAAGACTGTGGGGAAGAAGCGCATATATCCATCGCAGTTTCACGTTACACGCGTGATAATCCGCGAGCGCGCGCGATCCGATGTATCAGCTTTCGTGTCAAAAGAGAATGTTCCATTCTCTCAGGTAATTTAGACAAAATGCACCGTTATGGCGGAGCATTGAACTAGATCTGCTGTAACGTGGCTTTCACTTTTTCTCAGATCTATCTCTCATACAATCGAAACGTATGATGTACTGATGAAACTGCGTTATTGTGCGCAGCATACGGGAATGTAACAACGAGGAAAGATCCGGGAAGAGCAAGGATGACGTAAAGCAACTTGCTTCGCGACCAGACACAATCAAGTAATTCGCAGTTCGTTTTAAATCGTGTCTCTAGTCACATTGCGGGGATAGATTTCGGTTAAACCACAATTGACGTTAATCGATCTTTGAATTATAGACGAACGCGTGGATATCCTGACGGCATTCCTAAAGTAGTAATTAAAAACGTGGAATTTCAAGGATAAGATTCTTCAATGCTTACCTAATCAGAGATCTTTAGAATGTACAAGAAAAGCTTTATTTGCAGGAATAAGAATGCAAAATCTCTGCACGCGCAAATTGTCGCATCAAAGCAGAAGCAAAAGATTCTTTAAAACCTAAAAATGTATACAAATCAGAAATAATAAGAATATGAAATTACCAACCAGATGTCTGTCAATGTTGATTAATAACGATTTGATTGATCGGTAGAGACGTGATTTTATTTTGCAAAACGAGTAGAATACTCGAATGAGAGTATGCGATATAAGTGAAAGTAGAGACACAATCACGAAAAATCATTTTACACACGCACACGAGAGAGCGAGGATGTACGCTAAAGAAGCTCGGAATATCCCGAAGTTCTCGAAATTCCCATTATTACACGTGAGAAACATAAAGTCGCTTACCTTTGCGGGCGAGGTTATATCACGTTGTGCGTACAATGATCCGCGACGAATGTGCGAGGCCGACTAAGTGACGACAATGGAATGAAACGAGCTTGCGTACGTGCACAATTCTCCACTTCTTTGCTGTCAGATACACGCAGGAAACCCCTCACAAGTCCATTATAAACTACTTCACACTTTCACATGCAATTTCCTTCCACCATCCATCACCGCGGAACTACGCGAACTGAGAGTCGACTGCGCCCGCGCGTAGTAGTCGACTAATACGCGACCATAGACGCAGCGAATATAGACGTTCTATTCTCCCACTACATTGTTACTATATAAATTTGTCCAAAATTTATCAGGATTGCCAACTACTTTTTGTCAAAAAACTAATCACTAAACAATTGACAGACTGTAGTTACTTTAATTGGACATACTGGGATACATATAGATGAGCATTGTTTATTAAACTACGAATTATGCACAATCGTGTTCTTAAATAATATGCTCCACGCGACTTGTTTATAAGATAAAGAAAATTAGTTTGTGTCGATGTAGACGCGGATTCGAGGAGTTTTCTAACATCATATATTCTTACATTGAAATAATATGTCAGAGGAAATTACAATTAACAAAGATAAGATTCTTGATAAATTAATAAGTTTCCAAACTTGAAAACAAAAAAAATTGTAACACGTGTTGTTGTGCTGTACGGAATACGCCATTGGCTTGCATATTAGTCTATTATGTATTACTTGCAAAAGCTAGAAAAGGAGTTCATGTCTTTTGGTGTATCGTAAATAATAAACGCGAAAACATGCCTGGAGGTAGGCGGAATGCTGCCAGTCGGACTGGACCGATTGGCAGATCAGGAAATACTTATACTAGTCTTGCTAATGTTAACGGACGAAATAATAGTGGAGAAAGAACAATTGGGAATATCACAGAGGATAAAAAAATTGATGAGATTTATGGTGGAAAATCTCTGGCACCGAAACACATCCCAATACCTGTGGTACCAGTCGATGGACAATTAACGTTTGAGGCTTTGTCTTTGTTTATCTCAATTATTGCAGCTTGCCTGCAACTACTTAATATATATAAAACTGTATGGTGGTTACCACATTCGTACAATAGTTATAGTGTGGTATGTTGCGCTTATTTTTATTACATATTTGTGATCGCATTATATTAGAAGAATTAAAGAATGCTTAATTATATCTTGATGTTTCAGAACATGTATTTGATAGATCCTTATCTGCTTCTATTTATTTTTACAACAATGGCATGTAGATTTATTTATACATTACTATGTCAATTCATTGATGTTTCATTGCCAATTCGATGGTTGCCTACTATTCAAAAGATTATGAGGTATTGTCATAGGAATATTATCTATAAAACTTGTATATTTAATCTACAGTATTGAGATATAATAATCGTGCATTATTTCAGAATATCTCTATCAATTTCTGTGATGAGTATAATTGGCTGGTGCCTCTATCATATGGCTGAAAGACATAACTTTATGAAGATTATTTATTATATATGTTATCTGTATGTACTTTCTTACTATATAAGTGTGCTAGTATATGAAATGATTTATTATTAATATATATGTGAAGAGAGATTTGTATTCTAATATACAAATCTTCTAATTAAGATTAGAGATAATATGTTGCTTATGAAATCTATTTGTTCCAGAAGTTTTTCGGTATATTTGCTTACATTTGGAGTACGTTCAACATTATTTTTTGATATTTCTACATCATTCTCATGTGGAAAAGAGGAACGGAAGACAAAATACTTGTTAGGTAAATGTCACCATTCCTATTGACAATGTTTTATCTATTTATATTATTTGTCTCTGAAATTTAGTATTATAGTGCTATTTTTTATATGTAGATAAACCCTTGCACAATTGCTCATTAAATGCATCGGCCATCAGAGCAGAAGTATCCACGTTAAGAACCGATTTTAATCGACGATTAAAGCGGGCTTTATTTTCATCTTTTAGTAGCGCATACATCTGTGGAGTCGCGCCCATTATTTTTGTACCTTCGCATTTACATTTCAATCTACCGTGGGTAGTGCAACATGCATTCTTATTTTTTCTTGGAAGGATAAGCGCATATTTTGCTCAAGCTTATCCTGTTAGGTGAATATATTTTTCAATACGTCGTAAAATTATTTGTCAAATATAATAATCAGAAATAACGTAAGTGATTTATCGACACTCTAGATACTGTGATGTGCTACATAGAGCAGCGCTACATTTAGGACGGTGGATTAAAATAGAAAATCGTAACAATCACGTATACGCCCAACCATGGAACGAGATGATATTGTGGCCGCACGGATCGATCGTAAGACATAACAGAGAAATTTACCGTTCCGAAGGTTTGTGCACAGCGGCGGAACCGGGTAACCTAAATCATTATAGATTCCATGTACGTGATCTTACTTTATCAGTAAACGCAATAAAAAATATTGAATTCGATATTAATATAAAATGTTTCACAGGCTTTATTTAATAATCCGACGATGCTGTTGTGTTCATTATTGGGACTACAATTATTACTAGTGGGCGTTCAATTGGTTATTCTGTTACACACACCTGAATGGTGTCAAGTACTGTCAATGATGCTGTTATTGATCATAAATTACTATACTCTATTCAAAGTGGCTAGAAATTATCTAATATGCTGGAAGGTGTATCGTGCCGAACAAATAATTCAAGAGAAATCTCAGATGGTTGTAAATCCAATTGCACAATAAAATGCAAATACCTGTGCGACATTTACTTTATATTGTTTTTATCTACTTATTAATAAAATGGGGATATTGTAATAATTCAATGAGATATTGTAATTATCCGCATGAGAAAATTTTACGCTTTGTGCAATTTACGCGATAATTAGAAAACACATTTTATGTATAGATTCATTGAATTAAATTAAAGCAATATGTAATATATTGAAGGCATTTATTTCGAAGCATAAAGCAGAAAGGATGTTGAACCCAAACTTGATACGCTATACATTTAGTATTTTATAAATTATCACTTGCTTGAATATCGAAAAAGATTGCAAATGTTAAGTAATAAATCTGAAATGCACTTGTTAGGAAAAGTCTGTTTTTCTAAAATAAAAAGATAAATGCTTTTTATATCGGTTAGTTAGTCTACAGATAAAGTTAAATCTCAATCTCTCTCTGCAATGCTCTACTTGTACTGATAATATATTAATATAAAAACATTAAATATGATCTTTCAAGAAATTTGTAATATTCTTGTGCTTTATAATTTAATAGAGTGTGATTATAATTTAATAAGCTCTGAAAAACATTAATAGGCATATATATATATGTATATATATATATGTATATATATGAATAATTAATTCTGGAAAAGAGTACGTGTAAATTCTATGTAGTCCAGTGCTGCCGTTATCGGTCGTTCCGATTTGGGATCTACATAAGGTTTCATACGAGCGACGCAGTAATCGGCCATTTCCTTTGTGAGGTTCTGAAAAAAAGATTGAATATAAATTGCACATGTCGAGATTATAGAATGTTGCAATTCGGATCTTTAAACGTTCCACGAAATTTGCACTTACAGCATATAATTCCTCCTTCGTGACATACGGTCGATCCGCTGCGGTAATCGCTCGGAAAGCATTTTCTATCTCCTCCGAGCTCTGCACGTTCTCTGTTTCCTTGCTGATCATAAACGCCATGTATTCTTGCAACGATACATAGCCGTCTCTGTTCGGATCCACGATGTCTGCGAATAATAAAATGCATTAAATTAGATGTCTAGAGTAACAAAAAATAAAAAGTAACAATTTAAATCGATAAAACACCTAGTATATTTTCGAATTCTGGATCAGGTTGTCCTTCCTCCATCATGGGTAGATCGTAACCCAGAGCTCTGAGGCACGATTTAAATTCTTGGTGATTCAGACGACCGCTCTTGTCCTTGTCAAAGTGCTTGAACATCATGGAGAATTCTTTGAGTGCGTCTTCAGACACACCGGACTGATTTCGGGCTTGAATTTGCTGCTCCAAATTGTGTTGCATACGCATTCCCAGCTGATCCAACTGGTCCCATTGCTGCGCTAATCCCACAGTACTGTGCTCTGTGTAACGATTGTCCAGAATTAAATGCTCCTCCAGAATGGCTCCTAAATCTTCGATCTTTTTCAGGTCTTGACGACGTGCGCGTACTTCTTGAGTTTTTCTCTGCAAATTTATAAATGTAATTTATATGAAAAAATATATATTTAAATTATAATAAAAAAAAACATTTTTTCTACAAACCTTCGTAGCTTCCAGTTGCTGTTCTAAAGATCCAGATCCTTCCATCATGGATGTTCTATAAAAAAATTAATATTTTCATTTTATGCTTAATTAAATAATTAAGTGGATAAATAATTCCTCATATATTTCGATACAAACCTTGTTTCCGCGAGCCACTGATGGAAAGCATTGGCATGCTTGGCAAATTCCTTACGCAATTTATCATTCTCGTCCTGCCGTTGTGCTTCCTTCGCGAGCTCGACATCGCGTTCCTTAATTATCTTCTGTAAATTACGCCAAGTATCTTCCAATGCTTCCATCGTGAACCACGTGTACGGATTAGGTCCGACATTGAAACTCTTGATCTGTCTGTCGAGAGCGGCCAGAGCTTGGAAGTCGGCTTCCGCGGACGACAAGCTGGCCTGGAACTGCGCGTGCGCTTCTCGAAGAGCACGAATCTCTTCGATACTGTTGCAGCGCACCGGGTCCGTCAGATCCTCCTCGGCATTCTCAAACCAGGAATTGAAAGCGGACGCCTTCTTCGCGAATGTCAGATAAAGCTCCTCGATTTGCCTAAACTGATCCTGCATTCTCAATAGACGCTGCTTTCTCGCGTCCGAATCGGCCAAGAGTTTCTGCCAACGTGTGATGACGTCGGCGTGACGTTTCTGAATACTGGGCGTTTGATCGTGGCCGGAATCAACGAGCATCTCCTTCAGCGAGGTGATGTTCTGGATGCCCTCGTGCTCGAACGCGTGGAGACCGGCGTCGAAGGTCTCCTGTTTCGTGAGCAGAGTCTGCACGGTCGACAGATCGCGGCCGAATTCTTCGGAACGCACGTGGGTTTCCTTGTCGGCGATCCACGACTCGACCACGTCGGCCTTCCACATGAACTGCAGATACGCCGAGTTATCGTTCAGTCGAATCTTCCTGCGAGCCGCGAGAGTTCCGAGTTGCTCCAATTTGTTACGCAACTGCGCGCATCTCTGGCCGATAGCGTCCGCTCGATGATTGCCGGCCTTGATCAGCGTTTCGCCGGCCTCGCAAATGTCCTTGCAACGTTCGCCGTGAGCTGCAAAGTCGGTTTCGAATGCATCGTGCTTCTTCAGAAGACCTTGCACGGCGGCCATTGTGTCGCCATAATCCTCGACGGAAAGTAGCTGCTGCTTCTCCGTGATCCACGCCTCCTCCTCTTCGACCTTGGCGAGAAATTGTTGATACGTCAAGGACTCGTCGAGTTTCTGTCCCCTGGTAGCGGCCAATTGCTTCAATTCGGCCCACGCCTGATTGAGAAGCTTCAGACGCTGCTCGATTTCGGGTACTCCGAGATTCGAAACGTCCATCAATTTTTCTCCCGCTTCTTGGACAGCTTGTATCGCGGGCTCGTGACTGCCGAGCTCAGCCTCCAATCTCTTGTGCTTCTTCTTCAGGTTCTGCACGCCCGTAAGATCGCGACCGTAGTCGTCGGATCCGACGAGAAGCTTCTTCTCCTTGATCCAAGACTCCTCGTCGGCGATGTCGCGGAAGAATTGATGCAAGGTATTGGCTTCGTTGAGTCTCGCCTGTCTGTGCGCCGCCAGATTTCTGATTCGCTCGTAACGTTCGTTTATGCTCTGTCGCTTCTCTTGAATGCCAGCCGCGTCGAATTGGCCGCTCTCGATCAATGAGTCGGCCTGCGTATTCATATCCTTGATTCTCTCCTCGTGCGCCTGTATGTCCGCCTCGACGAGCTGATGTTTCTTCATGAGATTCTGTACGGAAGCCAAGTCCTTGCCGGCGTCCTCAGACGTGAGCAAACTTTCGACCTCTCCGAGCCAGAAGTCGAGATCCTTGACGGCGGCGATGTAAGTGCGCTGCTTGTTAGCTTCCTTCAATTTCATCGACTTCTCCGTGGTCTTTTGCGTGAGATACTCCCATTGGTCAGCGATGGACGCGAGTCTCTTCTGAACGGCGTCTTCTGAACCGGCACACTGGTGTTTCTCGATCAGATTGCCCCCCATGGCGAGCACCGACTGAATTCGATCCGCGTTGGCCGCCAATTCGGCTTCGAAGGCCTGATGCTTCTGATGCTTCGATTGTATATTAGCGGGATCCTTGTAATTTTCTTCGGTCGCCAGTTGAAGTTTCTCGGCGATCCAATTTTCCATTTCATCGGCGTCTCGGGAGAACTGCTGCAGGGTCTGAGATTCGCCCAATTTGGAACGTTTCTCGATAAGAGCGTCCTTCAGGTGTCGCCAGCGGTCCAGCACTTGGCACCGTCTTTCGTCGATGGGCTTGGCGGCATAATGTTCGGCGGCGATCAACTGATCAGCCAGCGTTTGCAAAGTGGCGATCTTCTCTTCGTGAGCGTTGATCGCTTTATCGAAATCCTCGTGTTTCTTGATAAGAGCCTCGACGTTATCGCTGTTGTCCACCGCGTCCGCGCTGCTGAGGAAAGCCTCTCGCGCGCTCATCCAATTCTCCGCCTGCTCGCAATCTCTGCAGAACAGCTGCAGTTCGAGATTCTGGTCAAGCTGCATGCGTCGCTGGATCCAGGCTTTCTCCAGTTCCTGTCGTGCTTCGGCCATAGATTCGAGCTTCTCCGTTATCTCCGCAGTGGCGTAATGATTCGATTGCAACAGTTGTTGACCGAATAATTCGAATGCCTGAAAAGTGCCCGCCCTGGCATCTATTTCCATACGGTGTTCCTGTAAAAAAGAATTCGGAGAAATTTAAAGCAGCTCGCGATGGAATTCTTGGATTTTCTTGAATCAATGCGCATCAATATACAGCCCTGTTTGTTATATACGATCAAATCCATTCGGCAGTAGATGTTACGGCAAGCAGAAAGAGAGTAAAATTACGCGAGAAGCATTGAAAATACTCAAACTGTTAATAGGCAGTATTTTCATTGCAAAACATCGCCAAAATCAGTCAGGCTTCTACCGTAAAAAAAAAAGAAGAAGAAAATCATCAACGATACTATGATTATATGAGATTAATTTTAAAGGCATTCGCCCGGCAAATTCGCGACTTCCCTCATTGCATGCTTAAACGCTCTTATACCTCTGGAAGTATGCCATATCGCGCATCTATCTCTGCTCTGTGATTCTATAATTTAAATGGATCATGAACGATTTGAAAAAATGAGCGTGATGATCATATTTAATCGTATTGCGTGTGAAACATTTTTACCTGGTGGCGTTCGAGCAGCGCCTCGGCGCCCGTGACGTCCGATGCAAGCTCCTCCGAAGCGACTAAGCCCATCATCGAGTTGATCCAAGCCATCAAGTCGCGGTAATCGCTGAGGAATCGTTGCAGATCGTAAGAGTCAAGAAGCTTTTCCTTTCTGTTGTTAGCTTTGGCCGTCAGTTGCGTCCACTCTTCGTTGATCTCCTTCTGTTTGGCGTACGTTTGCTCGGCCGTCTCCGGATGCGACTGCATCAGGCGATTCGCCGTCTCGTCGAGCTGCTTAATCTTGTCTCCCAGGGCCGCCAAATCCCTCTCCAGACCCTCGTGTTTGCGCTGCAGGGCCTGAACGCTGCGCAAATCCTTGCCCAGATCGTCGTTGTTCAGCGCCGCGTCCTTCTCGCGAATCCAATCTTTCGTCTCGTCAACGTCGCGATGGAATCGCTGCACTTCGTGAGCGGAGCCAAGCTGACTGGCGCGTTCCGCCGTGAGCGTTTGCAAGCTGGTCCACTTCTCGTTCAGATCCTTGATCTGCGTCTGGATCTTCAGCGCCGCTTCGGTCTGCCCGAGGCTCATCAATTGCACGGCGATTTCGTTCATCTCGGCCAAACGCACCTCATTCGCCTTGAGATCGGCTTGGAAATCGTCGAACTTCTTCTGCATGACCTCCACTTGTTCCAGATCCTCGCCGACGTCCTGCACTTGCGCGTGATTTTCCTTGTCCTTGATCCAAGTAGCCAGCTCCGCGGCTTCTCTCACCAGCACGTAAGCCTTGGCCGTCTCGTTGAGTTTGTTCTGACGCTCGCGCGCCAAACGCAGAAGATCATCGTATTGCGCATCGATCTGCGCTTGTCGCGCGGCGATCGAGCTCTGTTCTCTAGCCAAATTCTGCTGAGATGCGCTAAGACCCGCCTCGGGCTCCACGCGCTTCACGTACGCCGCTGGCACGAAGCCTTGACGATCGTTCACCTCGACCTTCCACCAGTCCTTGTTGTTAGAGTTGAGAAGGGTCAAAGTATCGCCCTTCTTCATAGACACTTCTCTGGGCGACTTCTCCGTGTAGTCGTAAAGAGCCACGACGCATTCCTTGCCGGTAATGTCGATCGTAGGGGTCTCCTGCTGTCTGCACGCCGCAGCTTGATCCTTCAGCGCTCCAATGGTGCTGGCGAACGCTTCCAGGTCGCTGACCAGCGCTTCGTGCTTCTTCAGAAGGGCTTCGGAACTGTCCTCGTCCTTGCCGTAGTCGCCATTCATCACAATCGGGCGTTTCTCCTTCATCCAGGACTCAGCTTCGTTCGCGTCGGCGAAGTACTGATGCGCTTGCAACGAATCGTCCAGATCATTCTTGCGCTGTCGAGCCTTGTCCTTCAGTTGTCCCCAGTGTTCATCCAGAGCTGTCAGTCGCTGATTGATCTCTTCACCAGCAAAGTGTCCTTCTTGCAACATCGTCGAACCCGCTTGGCAAACCGCGGCCACTCTCGGCTCGTGGTTATTAATTTCAGCCAAAACGGCCTGATGCTTCTTCTGGAGATTCTGCACGCCGATCAGATCGCGGCCGCGATTGGTGGACGCCGCGACCGGCTCTTTCTCGCGTATCCACGCTTCCTCGTCCTCGATATCTCGGAACAGTTGCTGCACTTGGAGGGAGTCCAGAAGCCGTTGTTTCCTCAAACTCATAGGTTGCTGCAGAGAGCTGTATCTAGTTTGCAATTGCTCCTGCTTGGTCTTGATGTTATCGGCGTCGAAATGACCCGACTTGACGAACTGTTCGCCCGCTTGAGCGATGCCGTCGATCCTGTCCGTATGAGAGCCTACGTCGGCTTCCAGAAGCGCGTGCTTTTTCTGCAAGTTCTGGACGCTCGTCAAATCCTTGCCATAATCTTCCGACATGAGTTGTCCCTCCACTTCCGAAAGCCACAGCTCGATATCTTCTATGGTTCGGTTAAACTGCTGCTGTTGAGAAGCTTCCTGCAACTTCGCACCTTTCTTCTCGCTGGCTCGTGTCAGACTTTCCCACAGCGTCACAATTTCGTCCGTGCGAGTGCGTATGCGATCGCTAGCGTAGTGGCCACTGTCGATCAATTCCTGGCCGGTGGCCACCATCTCTTCCATCCGCGTCCTGTTTGCGTTCAGTTCCTGCTCGAAATTCTGATGCTTCTGCACCTTTCCGTTCAGGTTAGTAGGATCCAAGTAACTGTCGTCGGTGGCAAACTTGAGTTTCTCATTTACCCAGCCCTTCGTTTCGTCGCAGTCTCTCTCAAATTGTTGCAACTTGTAAGCGTCTTCCAGATGACGGCGTCTTTGAGACGATTTCTCAAGGAGAATGGCTCTCCGTTCCAACAGCAGCTGGCGGCGTTGCGCTACGTCGTCCGCGGCATAATGCTCACCCTCGATTAACTTTCCAGCGAAGTCATCGAGCACTTTGATTTTCTCCTCCTGTGCTGCTAAAGATTTATCAAAGTCCTCGTGTTTCTTAATGAGCGCCTCTACACTGTCGAGCGAATCTCCTAAATCTTCGTTAGCCAGAAATGCTTCCTGTTTGGCCATCCATGCATCTGCCTGTTCGGTGTCCCGATAGAATAGCTGCAAATCCACGCATTGCTCGTACAAGATACGCCTCTTTTCCCACAAACTCAGGAGAGATGATTTGTCGTCAGCAAGGGAATTCAATTTTCGCGCCACCTCCTCGGCAGCGTAATGCTTCTTTTCCAAGAGTTTATTACCAGCCAGTGTGGTTGCGTCGAAACTATCGGCTCTGGCGTCAATTTCACCCTTGTGTTCCTGGTGTCTGTCGACTAAGGCCTCAGCGCCAGCTACGTCTTTAGCTAGCTCGTCCGCGGAAATAATGGCGCGCATGTCATTCATCCATGACACCAGATCGCGATAGTCGGCTAAGAACCGATGCAGATAGTAGGACTCGTCGAGTTTTAGGCGTCGCTCTTTCGCCTTTGCGGTCAGGCTCTCCCACGATTGCAAAATCTCGGCGCGTTTGGCTTTAATTTGTTTGGAATGATCTGCTTCGTGAATTGAAGCGAGACGATCGGCTTCTGCGCCCAATGTAAACACCTTATCTTCCAGTGCGGCCAAATCGCGTTCGATACCTTCGTGCTTTCGTTGTAAGGTTTGAACGCTGGCGAGGTCTCGGCCGAAATCATCGGATGACAGTACAACATCCTTTTCTGCGATCCAAGCCATGGTCTCATCAGCATCACGATTGAATCTCTGAATTTCGTGCGCTCCGAAGAGCTTCTCCTGCCGCAGTGTGGCCAGTTGTTTTAGTCTCTGCCAGGATTCATTCAGCTCCTCCTTCCTGCGCAGTATCGTATCACGTTCAGGATGTCCGTCTAACAGCAGCTTGTCTGCCAGTTCATTAACTTCAGTGACTCTGTACTCCTGGCTGGCCATATCTTTTTGGAATTCGTCAAATTTTCTTTGGAGCACCTCCACGTGCTCCAAGTCAAGTCCAAATTCATCGGTCGTTACAAAAGCTTCCTTGTCATGAATCCAGAACATTACTTCGTCACAATGACGAATGAATTGTACGAGAACCAAGGCCTGTTGTAACTTCAAGCCCTTATCAGCCAATCGAGATAGTAGCAACTCCCACAGGCGATGCAGTTCCTCTTTAATTAAATAAATGGTATCGATAAATAAATTTGCCATGCGAAACAGTACATTTCATAACTATCATAATTTCTTTTCATGGATAAAAATTGGTTAAGAAAATGCACACATACAAAATACACATCTGTGTTAAACTCAAAATTGAATAATTACTGTTTTAAATTAAAATATTCTTAGCACTTAAACTTACCTAGTCTTTTGCGAATTACATCGCTTGCAAAATGATGTTGTGCTATCATTTCAGAGCCAGTATTGTCAAGAAGCACGATGGCATTTGAATGAGCAGCGACTTCTGCTTCAAAAGCCTGATGTTTTTGAATCTTTGCCTGTAGATTGGTCGGATCTTTATAGCTCTCATCTGAGGCTGCTTGGAGCTTCTCGTAGATCCATCCTTCGAGTTCATCCGCATCTCGCTTGAAATACTGAAAAACAAACAAAATGATTAGCGTAAGCATAAAAGACATGTAATTACAGCAATTGAAAGAACATTTGGGAAACGTACCTGAAAGCGACGGGAGTCCTCGAGCTTGTCTCGCTTATTACGCGCTTCCGACTTAAAGTTAGCATATCGTCCTAGTACTTGCTCTCGCCTTTCTTGGATGTCCTCTGGATTCTCAAGAATCTTCACCTCCTTCGGCGTAATTTGATCCATGACTCCGATTGTTGAAGTAGTTCACAGAATATCGTGTCCAAAATGGCCACAAATGGGGTGTGGCAGAATTAATTTGCCGCCGGGATCAATAAGTGACGTTTCGTGCAGGCACTAGGAAAACATCGAATAAACGCACGGTGATAGATCGTTTTGTCAATAATACGGAAGTAATAATCGCTCGATTCAAAATTTCTCAATTTGTGATTCACTCGCGAACTGGCGAGATCCTTTTAATCCATTTGGCCTCGATCAGCCTCGACTGACGTTTCGACCGGGTTCTACACTTTACGTGCTCTCATACACTGTCATACACACGATGTTCCGATAGCGCTGTGTGCCAAATGGATGATTGTTCAAGCACTGCGCCAATAATAGTGATGATATAACAGACACTGAACTATATATTCATTGGAATGTTCTATAGTTCAGTACCGCAGATTTTTTAATTCCGCTTGAGCATTGTAATCGCCCATAGATATTTTAGTTCCGGCATAACTCAGCTTGAGCGTTAAATTCACCCTTTTAGTTCTGGTATAATCCTCTTGAGCGCTGAAATCGCTCTTTTAGTTCTGGTATAATCCTTTTGAGCGCTAAAATTGCTTTTAGTTCCGAATAATTCCGCTTGAGCGCTAAAATCGCTTTTAGTTCCGCATAATTCCACTTGAGCGCTAAAATCGCTTTTAGTTCCGCATAATTCCGCTTGAGCGCTAAAATTGCTCTTTTAGTTCCGCATAATTCCGCTTGAGCGCTAAAATTGCTCTTTTAGTTCCGCACAATTCCGCTTGAGCGCTATAATCGCTCTTTTAGTTCCGCACAATTCCGCTTGAGCGCTATAATCGCTCTTTTAGTTCCGCACAATTCCGCTTGAGCGCTAAAATCGCTCTTTTAGTTCCGCACAATTCCGCTTGAGCGCTGAAATAGCCCACAGATTTTTTAGTTCCGCATAATTCCGCTTGAGCGCTGAAATAGTCTACAGATTTTTTAGTTCCGCATAATTCCACTTGAGCGCTGAAATCGCCCACAGATTTTTTAGTTTCGCCATAATTCCGCTCAGGCACTGCAATCGCTCGCAGATGTTTTAAGGAGATACTAAAGTGGTCTGTTTTACCATACCTATTTCTTTCAAATGTACTTAACTTTTTTTTTGGCTGTGTAGAATGAAAAGTCCTTTCAAATCGACCGTCCGTAGTGTATTAACATATGTACTTTACTTATAGAAAAGGACTTTTCATTCTACACAGCCAAAAAAAGTTAAGTGTATTTGAAAGAAATAGGTAAAACAAACCACTTTAGGATCCTCTTAATTCCGCTATATTCTACTTAGGCACATTTAGAATCGCCGTCAAATTCATGTAGAAAAGCGGATTCCAAAATGTTTAGAATTCAATGTGCTGTAATACATATTTACACTAATGAAATAAGAGTCGACGAGCCAAGCGCAAAGTTAATATTGAAAATTTCATGTTGCTAAAATACAAAAGTTATTTAAAACTAATATAATTAAATTAATATAATTAAACACAAGAAATTCTCCATATTATGTAGATTGGATTTTATAACTAATAATATAACTTTGTGTGTGGATAACTATTTCAAGCGTCGATTTTTATACTTTGTGTTAGAATGTTTAATTTTTTAATTTAAAAATTCGTTCTGCTGATTTTAGTTATAAATAAGTTCTTCTTTGATCCAATTTTTACGTAATAAACCACTACTATTTTATTGCCACTGTATTCATATTAGTTCTGTTTAGAATGCAACATACATTCTTTAATAACATTGCTAAAAATCTGGCATATTAAGCTTATGTTGACGAATTCACTTTCCAATCATTTCAGTATAAATTTATATAGTTCTTGAACTCAATAACATGAATCTAATTGGTTACAAAGTTTAAAATCAACTCAATTAAAAGAATCGCGATAACATAAAAATATTTTTCAGGTACAAAGGATAAAATTACATAGGTATGTTAGGATACAATAATCTTTTATTAAATTTCACCTACAAACAACGAATCACAGAACGTTACATTAGAGTTTCTTACGTCAATCCATCGTGTTTTCATATATTTTACAGGTAAATATTTATGTATTTATCTCTATTACAGTAAAGTCTTATTTGTTAAAATATCTCATAATGTTGTGAATTGTTATGTATATGTAAATTTAATTTACCTAAAAATAGGATTTCTGTTGTAGTATCCATTCATTGTTTATAAGTGTCTGCTATCATGTGTAGAAGTGGTATAGTATAGGTACTTTTGTCCATTGTACTCTGATATATCTTCTTCTTTATCATTATTATTAGTATTATTAATATTATTATTATTATTATTTTCCGCCGATACATTTTATTCCAAGTACGATAAAAGTCGCGATGTACCAAAGAACTTTACGCTGATAAAATTACAAAATTCAATTCTTCGCAAACGATGCTAGATAAAAGGGCTTTAAGTACCTGGACAAAGTGACGGTATTTACAATACAAATCGCTAGAATTTTTATACGCATCTTTTTTTTGTTAGAAGGCAACACGTCTTTGTTAATATGAGAAGGCAATTTGCTTTGTATCATCGGTATGTTTGATGTCCCAAAACATCAATATCGATCTGACAGCACTGTGCGCTCGAATCGAGATATCTCGGCTCGAGCGACAAATGCAAAGGGACAGTTTTACAGGCATTACTGGCAGCACTGGATCACTCTGTTCAAATGTATTATATATTTAATTTTTTCGGAATTTCCGAGGCTGTAGTGAAATCGGCCTGTGTGTTCACGCGTTGTAATATACCACCGCGTGTGATCTAGCTACTCGCTATCGCGCTCCTCGTCTATCCTTTTATTTTCCATCTCCTAACTTCTTTTTTCTCCAGCGAAAATAATCGCCACGACAACCAGAGTATGATTCTCTTTAAAGGTAAATTTCTTCGACGATTCCTTGTTATGTACAAAACTTAGGACTATAGGATACACTTGCACTCGTGCGCGTCACGCGTCCCGGGGCGTCAATAAGTTAAATTTTATTCTAGAGTTACCATTTGTTTATCCCGAAAATCGGGCGGGCTTTTTTTCTCTCTGTATTGTACGTGCGACGCCTCTGATCAGTCTGAGCATGCGAGACCAACGATGTGTGCGCGTTGCGACTGCGACTAAGTGATGCGAACGCGTTCGAAGAGAGCGCGTTCTTAAATGTTATAAAATTCGTTTTTCGATATATATATATATATATATAACGTATGAGGAAATAGTAGTAGAAAGTTTCAAAAAAGAGACGTCGCACGAGTTAAGTTCCCATCGCGTGCTGACGTGACGTCGAATCTCATAAAGACACATCAACTTCCATTTTTACATATAACATACAATATATATTTATATAATATATATATATATATAATATTCAATAATATATATATACTTTTTTTTACTAAAGGTATTCTTCATATCTATATACAGAGATATATAATGTCTCGATAATCTTTACGAATTAGTAACACTAGGTTGCTAAATAATATTCTTGGACCTCGGTGTGTGTATGTATATTAGCCAGCACCTTGCGTTGTTGAACCCTCAGCTCACAAATCGAAAGGGCCAATCCCTTCCGCTTATACTTAAAAAAATATAACGTACACCCCACCCTGAACTCGTTTCGCGAAGCTTTAAGAGATGACGCCTCTCTCATCTTTTCTCGTGCCACTTCACCTCCCGTTTCCTCTCCTCTCCTCTCGATACCGTAATCCTTTCACAGCCCTTATTTCGTTTCATTTTTTTTTTTCTTAATTTTCCTCCGTAATACATTTTCCATTCGTATGAATCACACGCGCGTAACAATTTCCTTAGGTAACATATATATAAACGTCTAATATACAATAAATAATATATCGCGCTTTCGAATATACAATTTTTCTTCACTTTCCGGTCCTTCACACTTAAGTAATTTGTCCACGGCGTCCTTTCGCGAGGTACACCCGATAGAATCTTCAGTTACCTTCTCGATATTAGACTAAATTTTGTACAAATTTCAACAAGTCGGGCGCCGTTGGTGCATACGGTGCCGTCCTGTCCGGATCCTGCGCGGCATTCGGATATACGAAAAAGAAACGGACCGCATGAGGAGGTCGGAATCAACCTTCGACAATATCATCCGGCGCCTTAATATACATTTACATAGGTATAATACAAGGAACAAACGAAGCTAAAAAGAGAAAGAGAAATAGAGATAGAAAGAGAGGAGGGGGAGAGGGAGACACAGACAGAAAGAGAGGGAAAGAGACAGAGAGAAAGAGAGAACGCGTTTTACAATATCTGAGGGGTGTGCCAGGTCGGCACGTCTCGGCAGAAGGAGCCGCTAGACGGCGACCTGTCGCGCGGATGAGACTCTGCGATGGACCCGCGACGTCGCGTTAGCAACGGCATCGGCAGCATCGACAGCAACGATGCTCGACGTCCGCGCAGAGCCGGCGTCGGGACGCCACGCCGCTGATGCCGCTCTTCCTCGTTTCCCGCGAGACGGGTCTGCTGCCTGTCTCATGCGCCCGTACAATCGATCTCGACGATGTCTTTCGGCACGTCGACGAACTGGTAGACCAATCGCTGGCCGTCCACCTTCGCCAGGATGCCGCGCTGGTAGTAGTAGCGCAGAGCCCTGCCCATCGTTTCGTAATTCATGTCCGGCTTGTTCTTGTGCAGACCCCAGAGCCGCGAGACCGCCTTGCTGTCGACCAGCTTGAAGACGCCCCGCTCGCGATTCGTCCACTTGATGTAGCGTGGACAGTATTCCCGGTCCTGCAGCAGCTTGAGCAGGAACTCCCACAGGTACGTGGTCGAACCCTCGCGCGATTTCCGCTTCACTGCGGCGCCGCCCTCGCCCTGCCGCGGCTTCTTCAGTTTATTCTTCTTCGAGCGCGGTGGGAAGCCCAGCTCGAGAAGGTAGAAGTCGTCCGAGACCGAGCTGGTGGCCGCTTGGATCACGCTAGTGGGCACGCCGCCTGGTCCCCGCGGCGGGCTCGGAGTGCAGGGAGTCGCGAATTGACCGCCTCCGCCGTATATGGAGTTCACGTAATTGCTATAATTCTCAGACACTAAAAAAAAGAAAGAGAAAAGACACGGTTAGAACAATTTTGCGAATAATCTTCAAGTTATTTAGTCTTTTTCTACGTCTAAATAATTTATGATGATTTAATTAATTATTTAGAACAGATGCTCACAATCGCAGAATTAGGATTCTGCATTTGGCGTGTAGTTAGATCGAAAAAAAAAATTTCAATCCATATTTTTTCGGTGTACCTATTCGCAAACAAAAACGAATAATTTAGATAACTCTGGATCACTGTCTGGATGTAACAAAGTAATTATACACCTCAGGTATCTGTACGTGTATAATAATAATGTGGAAGCTGCACTTTTATCGCGATCACTTGTATAAAAGAATTAATAGCGCCGTAATAACAGAAATGATTTCAGCGCGTAACTTTAATGAAAAACCCGTTCTTTAAGAGACGCGTTTTAATGGCAACCCTCGCCACGAAATAGCATTATTATCTCGATTTGTGGCAGAGGATCGGAGTCAGTGTTTATCGAGTTAGTTTCCGCGCGGCTTAAGTACGTTACAGTTGAACGTGCAATGAAGTATTAATAGCCGTCGTTCGCGTAGCGAGAAAAAGGGAAAACGTCGTCATCGTCGCCGTTGACGTGCCGTTGATACCTTTGTCGTTTCTATCATCCAATTCATCAGCGAGTCAATTCTCCCGCGCTTTCGATAGTTCACCACCTGTTTCCGCACGCGTTTTACTCCGTCATCTGTGCTATCTATCCATTTCCGACGCGGTTTAAAAAAAAAATAGAAAGAACCGACAATTATCGGAAGCGGTCGAATTTGCGATCTATTTGTGACGAAAATAACGCGAGTAGATCCGCGCAACATTGATCGCAACGATCATACGGATGCGAGTACGCACGATCTGAGTTTATACCACGAGAGCATAGGACCATACGTTCATGGGCGTAGCGAACACGTCCAACAGGCGAGAATCGCGGCTCTTTCAAACGGACAGATTTTTCTCTCGCAAAATTCGCGCTGGATCGCAACGGCAAACTTGCACATTTTATTTGCTTATGGAATGAACAAGTGTCTTTTATAAAAATTGAGTTTAGTTTGAAAACTTTATTTTTTAAATCCACTTTTTTTTGTCAATTTCAACAAAACTTATTATTTGACATTTTACTGGTTCTGTTGGAAAATAAGTTTATTTAACAAGCAACGCGCAAAGCTACTCGAAGAAATGAAAATTCCAAATTTGCATCACTGGTGGATATTATTTAACGAAACCGCGTAAAAGATTTACAGCTGTTTCACGATCTTGTGTTTAAAATTTTAAGTCTTACATTTCTTTTTTTGCGCGTATGCGAATGTTAATTTCGTGGAAAACAATCTCTGTATATCCGTGAGAACATATTGCGCGATAGCGGAAAGTAAAAGTTTCAAAAATGAGTGCTCCGAAATGAATCTGACGTTTATTACGTGAACAGATGCGCGGTCGATATCATTGTGTGGCTTTCGCGTGAAAAAAAAAAAAAATGCTTAATATTTAGCACAAGCATATATAAACAATGTTGCACATGATCCTTGAAGAAAGTAAAAGTTGCAGAAGTGGCTTCGAAGTGAATCTTGCATTCTGCACGCCACTCGCCGAGCAACTAATGTCACCGTATGGTTTCTACGGAGGGGGTGAGGGGGGAGGGGGGAATTAATATACACGCGCGGCCGTGTACTATATTATGCTGAAAGAATGCAAAAGTTTCGAAAGCAACGCGAGGCGGAGGAGCGTTTTCCTTACGCCACTGGGCCGGGAGGAAGAGGAGACGGGCCGAGATAAAGAGACGAAGAGAAAGAGAGAGGGTTAAGCGGGGTCGAGAGCGCGGCGCGAAACAGGGCGCGGGAGGAAGAGAGGGAGAACGGAGATGAGGAGGGGAATCGGGGAACTCTGCCTGCAGTATGATAGAGGACTGACCCGAGCCAAGGTTGCACGGGTGACGCCATCAAGCTACTAGTGCATAATAGCGCCGCTCGTTCTGAAGCCGCCGCGACTGCGCTAAAATCGGAACTCGTTCTCCAGCCCCCTCGCATTCCCTCTCACTCCTCCTCCCCGTGTGCCCCGTACTCTTCCCATCGTCGCATTAACTCTCTCGTCTTTCCTACCCGTCCCTTCGCCGTCCTTCTCTCGCGTCGTGCGTTGCAGTTCCGCGGAGTTCCGTGCGGTTGAACGATTTTGCCGACTCTATATTCGAGGTTTTCTGGTCGCAAGCGACGAGATGAGAGCGAGGGGAAAAAAAAAAGAGAAGGGAAGACGGAGAAATATTTATTCGGCGTTCGGACGCGGTATCCTTTCGGCTGATAGAACAGCAAAATGAAATATACTCTTATGCATACGAAATGATGGTATTTAGCATACGCACACTCTATATTGTACAAAAAAAGTCTAATAAAAATATTTAAAAAATACAAGTATATTGTACGAGGCTCGAATTGGCATATGATGAAACACAAAGATGCATTTGTTGATCTTCCCGGCAAAGTAACATGGAAGTATCAAAAAGTTTCAGATTTGTAGCATATGAATTTAACGCGAAAGAAAATTTTCGACTGAAAACTTGCATTGCACTGTTGCGGTATAAATAGCGCGCAAGAGAAACGAGGTAAAATTTGAAAGAGAAGAGGAAAAAGGGAGGGCGGAAGATTTTCGAGGTGGCTCTAAAAATATAGAGAATGCACCGTTGTTCTCAGAGAAGTATATGCGAAGCGATACAGCGCACGAAAGATCGAGGAAACGGCACGAGAGAGAGAAAGAGAGAGAGAGAGAGCGACAGTGAGAACGAGAGAGGGAAAGGAGAGAATGAGAGAGACGGAAAGAGTGAGAGGAAGGCGGCAGAGGCTCGAGAGTGCCGCGAACAGCTGGAGCGGATCGTGTTTACGCGCGGTATGACTGGCTAGATGAGTCAATCGTAGACCCGTTGTCTAGGAGCCGCTACGGTGGGGGCACTCTCCTACTTCACTGACCTATACCACAAGTGTTGTATAGCGCAGGAAAGCACCGCTAGAGACGACGCATCGCCAGCCGCAGTCTAGTGCGTCGCGTCGCGCCGTGCCGCGATATTGTAATGCAAAATCGGATAGAGAAGTTTCTGCGAGTTCCAAAATCTGAGATATCGCTTGGAGAACGCGTGATCAGGCGCGCGCGCGCGCGCGCGCCATAAGCGAATATGTATGCATTTGTATTCAAGCCTCATGTTCTCATGATTGCTGTTAGTATCTTGTCGATCGCATCGCAAAGCGCAGCCTGAGATTGACATAAGGCGATTATTGATTAAATTCGAGTTTTGTTCGGCCCAATGAAACTATGTTCCGCGACAGTCTAATGCGTCCTCGAGGTCGAATTAATCTTCTACTTGAGCGGTATTCATCGGCTTCGGCTCGAAAACAAGATGCTTGGAAGAAAGGTTACAGGTTTAAGGCAAGAGTTAGTTACGTTTACATTAGAAAAATTTTACGACGATGTACAAAAAGAAAAAATGCAAGCAGAATTATTTCAAAACCAGTTGTCCTGTAAATCTGCCGATCCACGTTTATGATTTTAATCTAAATTATCGTCAATTTCGTTCTATTTCAGAGCACGTTTTAATGCAGTTTCGATCAAACAAAGAGCAATTAAACTCAACTTGTATGAAGAACAAAGCAGTCACCTGTATATTTCAAGTTTCTGTTTCTCCAACTTCATAAAAATTACGCTCAATTGCTTCTAGGACGATTACGGCGCGAAACACACGATTAATTTCCGGCTTAAAGTGAGTTTCGCAGCTCCACGTGTGTGGCTCAGTTGAGAAACCGAGGAAGATCGAGAAAAAGGAAATGTGTCCCGGGAGCTGCATTTCCTCGTGCACTCTCGAACCGCGTTCCTTCTTGACAGTGTTGGCAGGAAGTTTAGTCGAGTACTCGGTAACGAGTCGATAGTTAAAAATACATGGGAGGGTAGACGCACATTGCGCGGTTGCGACTGCGACGCGGCGCGATGCTCGTTTATTTTGCGGAGGATTTCGCGCTAACCGCTCTCTTGCGGGCCGGAAGTACAAGTATAGCGAGGAGGGTAGGAGACGAAGAGAAAGAGGGAAGGAGTGAGAAAGAGAAGAAGGAAAAAAAAAAAGCGCGATGAGCCGAGAAGCAACGGGAGGCGGCTCGGCCGACGCGACGGATAGTGGGGATATCCAGGGACGCACGATTCGACGGAACGAGCGGTAAAAAAAGTGGTTGCGCTAAAAGCAAGCTCGATAGAAGAGATGCTGCGGTGATGTGGTAGAAAGGGGAGATGGGAGATCTAGACAGAGAGCGCATTCTCACGTAGTGACGGTCCCGGATAATTGGCTGGGAAGTTGCGCGCGCGAGCGAGATTTTTCATCTTCGTTTTCGATGGCTTTGCACAGACTTGTCCGAGGATATTGCAAGAAATATCAATTTTCAATTTCGTATCTTGTCTTTGGCACTGGTACTATTTCACTTCCCCGTTCAATTCGCGGTTTATTAAACCTCTCCTGCTAACAAAATCCGAGCAGTTTCGCAATCTCTTTCCGACAGTATTAAATACAACCACTTATCTCTTCAAGATCTCTTTTATATATTTATTTTGATATTCCTCGCAGACTGCTTGTAAAACATCCTGTATATAAAATTGCTATTTGCCGTAGAATTTGCATAATTATAAAACTTGTAATCAAAATGGCAGAAACGTGAGAGCGCGGACTCCACGGGAGTCATTCTTCAGGGACTTGTTTCTTAATCTTGCGAAGAAAATTGAGGCAAAGTTCGTCCGAATTCTACTGTGGATAAGAAACTTAATCCCCTTCGGCCTGCCGATCCCGGTAAACCGCGCTCGCGCGGGCAGTCGCGTGACGCCGGAGCTCTCATGTACCAGGATTTCGAGAGGCGGAATTCCGCGTGCATCTAAGCGCACGAGTTACTCCGCAGTCCGAGCAGGAAAAGGAGGGACGGCGGGAACGCCGGAGTGAGCTCCGACAGCATCGAGGGGTGCGC